GTCGCGGGGCGACATCGCGCCCGGCAGGTCTCGCGCCAGGCGGGGCGGGGGGGCAGAAGGCTGAATGCGATGCGCAGTTGGTTGGCGACCCGGAGGGGAGCTGCATCCTGTGCTTCGCACTCGCGGGGCGCCATCAGGGGCGGGTGCATCGCCGAGCCGAGCCTCGAGGCTCTATGATTGCGCGCGCGGGGCAGGGGCGGGGGCGCGGGGGGGGGGGGGCGCGGGGGGGAGTGCCCATTGGAACAGCAAGGACGCGCGAGGGCGAGTTCCCCTCGCAGGAGGCGCGGCCACGCGCTTTAGCTAGTGGCTTCTGGTAAGCTGGTTTTCGAATGCATCAAACATGCTTCCGCGCCCGAGGGGGTGTCGTTTTTGCGCGGGGGCTTTAGGACAGGAGCTCACGTTGCGCATGTGGGCCCGAGTAGTGAGCGGCACGCGCGCCATGCAATAACTTACGCGTGGGCCCCGAACTACATAATCACACCAGAGGAAAAACCCAATCAATGGATAGTTTTCGCTTAGGAGATCGACCGGGAACCCGGGAGCCCGGGAACCCAGAACCCACCGAAATCGGCCCGGAACCAATAACCGGGAACCCGGGAACCCGGGAACCCGGGAACCCGGAACCGGGAACCCGGGAAACTCTCGCCAATTCTTTCAACTTCCGCGGACCCCTTCAGTGCAAGCACTGATTGGGGAACTTCCGCTAGGACCCCTTCAGGGCAAGCGCTGATTCGGGAATCATAACAATCCAATGCGACCTGTTGGGCAGGTTGGGTAATTCATTGATGCTTCGCCGTCGCGGGGGACGCCGCTCTCTGAGGGGGGGTGGCGCATGCGGGGCCGCCCCAGAGGCCTCTATGTTGCCGCGGGGGCGGAGGGGCCAAGTGTTGAAGAGTGAGAGGGGCATCATCATTGCACCCCCATCAAAGGTGCTTCACATAGAAATAAAAAAAAACCATCATAACCACCCCGACACGCGAAGTCGTTTAGTAAACGCGCCCAAAGAAGGAATCGGAAAGGGCAAGGCTGCTTAGTAAACGCCCAGGGCCGTTTAGTAAACGCCAGTTGTCCGATCTCCTTAATCACAGTCGTGAAGCACTGGCTGGGGAATGTGTTCCCTTTCTCACGTTGGCCCTAGGGTCTGCTCTCGCAAGTTAACGATTCGACGCGATCGCTGCCCCCTTACTCTGACAAGCAGCGCATGCCCTAGGCCCGAGCTTGTCTGCGGAATCCGGCAATCGGCAATGCGGGGTAGACAATTATCCTTTCACAGTAGTGGCAAGAACCTGCGCCCCAGGGGACGGGGGGTTCCTAGGGCAGTGCACCCCCATCCTTCGGGAAACGGATAGATGCGCTGTAGATAATCGTGCTTCACAGCCGCGGGGCGGTCTTCCGCCTGGCAAGTATCTGAGTGGCTCGCATCGAGGCGAAGTCTGGTCCGCTCTTCATTGCCATGTATGTGCTAACGCATCCACCAGGCCCCCACATTAATTGGCATAGTCGTTGGCAACAATCTGTCTCATAACATTTTGGCAGCTGGGGCGGCAGGGGAGGGCTGGAGCAAGCAGGCAGGCAGCGGGGGGTACGCTGCCGCAGGGGCGCGGCTCAAGCGGCCATGGCTCCCGCCGCGAGGACCCGTCGATATGCCCCGACCGCGATAGACCCCGGAACGAGGGCGACACATCGCGCCTGCTTTCTACTCGCGGGGGGCAGAAATGCGTCCGCAACGCCCGGCAGCGCCTCGCAGCCTCCGTCAGCAGGGAGGCTGGGGAGTGCGCGGGGGCGGCAGGCCGCGCGCACAAGGCCTGGGGGCAGCCCGCGCGAAGGCAGCCGCAGCGGGCAGGGCAGCCCGGGCCTGTGCAGCCGCGCTGCGAGGCCTCCCCAGACGGAGGGTAGCATTCCCGCCCAGGACTGCAGTCGTGGGTGGGTTGCTGAGCAAGTGAATGCGCCCCACCTCCCACCTGAAAGCCTTACTGCAGCAGGGGGGACGCAGCGCCGCGTTCAACCTCTGCGTGGCCACCCAGGTTATCTCTGAGGCCGAGTGGGACAACGTCGTTTTCAGTGGGAGACCTTCGACGTTCCTTTACAAAGGATCCCAGAACTCAGCAAAGGAGCCATAGAATTCTGTACTCAGTGTCCGCGCAGGTGGGCGCTACGGCTAGGGCTTTTGCTTTAGCGCGGAATCCCTGGTAGCTCAAGCCTGCTCTCGCCCCACGAGGGTAGCAACGCTCACATAGCCGGATGGTGTTCAACGGGTATCCTGAGAATGCGTCGGAGATTTGTCAAGGGGCCCTGGGACACACAGATAAATGCAGAGAAATCCCAGGGTTCCCCATATCTGGCCATATTTTCTCGATTCTCGTCTTCTCCCCCCATTGTCCATATTTCCCCATCTTTTCCTGGGAATCGACGATGAATTGTGTCTGTGTGTTTGACTTGACGCCATGGCTAGTACGTCCGTTAAGCGGATGTGCTATATGAGGAATGTGTGTAAGCCGGCCCGCCGATGGGAGGGGTGGCTGGGCGCGCGCGGACCTTACCTGTCAGCCGAAGTAGCTGCAAAGTAACATCGATGATAATGGCTCCACCAACCCTCACTTGGAGGGGAACGGCGGAGCAACACAAGGCAGCGAGGGGAGCGTTAGTAACGGCTCTGAGGCCCCTCTGTAGGTGAAGGACCACAGTTGGCATCTCGGCAGCAGCCAGCGACACAGCCCTAGCGATATATCATGTCCTGCCTTCCTCCAATGCCCGAGCGTGTACCATTTCAGTCGCGCGCCATCGTTCGGTACTTGACAGTAGTGGGGTGGGCGGCTTCCCGAGAGGATTCGGGGCGCACTGCACGAGGGGAGCTTCTCAACGGGGGATAACCGGGTATGAAGCTTCATGTAGGCGAGAGTGCTGCTGTATACACACAATCAGTTGAAGGGGGGCAGAGGCCCAGACCCATTCGAAACATACAGAACTGTATGGCACGAGCATGATAAAAATCTACCCGTGTCCTACGAGGCAGCCTTGACACTCCTCGCCCTCGTCCTCCTACTCTTCCTCCTCCTCGTCGTCCTCGTTCTCCTCCTCCTCCTCCTCCTCATCCTCCTCCTCCTCCTCCTCCTCCTCCTCCCCGTTCCCCTCCTTCTCCTCATCCTCCTGTTCCTCCTCCTCCTCCCCTCCTTCTCCTCCTCCTCCTCCTTCTATTCCTCGTCCCCTTCCCCATCACCATCATCACCACCACCAGCATCAACAACAACACTATCACAACCATCATGACCATCTTCGTCATATCCGCCCCCGGCCACTGTCCGACGTGTTCTCGTGTGGTCCCTGGACCACCTGTGCTCTATACAGAGGGAATCATATGACTTCACGTGATGCCGAATCCTGTCTGGGCACGTTCTCCGGAAAATGATACAATATCGTGTAAGATAGGGTGGCCTAACCATTAAAAAACCGGATGAAATAGTTGCACGTCGTCCGATGCCGGATCCTGGTGCGGGCTCCGGTGTCTCGACCTAGGCTTGCAAGCACACCTTGGGCCAGAAAGGCATGAGGGAGCGGGGAGGATGCGATGCGATGCGATGCGATGCGACCACCGTTGCGGACAGCGTCCGGGCCTAGAGCAGACAAGGTGGGTGAGGCCATGGCCTCTAGGATCTGAGGTGTCTGGATTCATGCAATGCGAGACATGTAAAAAAGTTAGGAGGAGAGGGGGAGGAGGAGGAAAAGAAAATCCTTGGTGTCGGTGTCGGCGCGAGTTGGGCGAGACGTCTCGACGTTCGCAGAGATTTTACGTTATTGGTCTGAGTCCCGGGTGCTGGTCGCTGTGAGGTCGGTGAAATGGTGCTCGAGCGCTGTCCATGCTTCGGTGTCTTGGGCTGTTTGCGTCCATGTGATGTCGTTCGGTTGTCCTTTCGAATGGGCTTGCGTGGGCGGTCGGTGGAGGTCTGGTCTGCGTTGACGTAAGGAAGTGGTGATTTCGTCATCCCAACGCTTGTTTTGGCCACCGTGCTGCCTGTGTCCCCGTTGGCGCGAGTTGAGGACTGGGTGCCAGCGCAGCAATCGCCATGTCCACCTCGTCCAGTCGTGGTTTGTGACTCGCGAAGCCATGCGCCATATTTTCCGTTTGTGCAGCATCTCCCAGTTGTCAATGTGGTGGAGCTTCATGAGGAGCTCTGCGCGTCGTGTCGTTCGCTAGATGTAGTCGACCCATGGCTCCATTTCGTCTGCGGTGGTGTTGTCTTCGCCGTCTTCGCTGTCCTTGTCAGGCGTGTCAGGTGCATCACACTGTGATGGGTTGCTGTCTGCGTCGTCGCTAGTGCTGTTGGTGCGGTCTTCGTGGTCTTGTGCTTCGTTGTTCGCGCCGTCGAGATTCGGTCCCTGGCCGCAGTGAGGGCCGGCATCTTTCGTTGTGCGTCTCTGTGGCGTTCTGATGATCATGCGAAGCATGCGTCGTTGTGTCCGTCGTAGATGCTGCCGTAGAGGCTCCGTCAGGGTCCACGTCTCTGCTCCGTATAACGCTGTTGGTGCTACAGTGCTGTTGAAAGTCGGAGTCGGTGAGCCAGTGGGTAGTGTTTGCTGGTCAGCTCCTGCTTGCGAGACGTGAATGATGCCCATGCAGCTCGCGTGCGGTGGAGGGAGCGGGGAGGAGGAGGAGGGGGGGGGGATCGAGGGAGGGAGGGAGAAGGAGGGAGGGAGGGAGACCATCTCCAGCTGCCCTGGGGGTGCCCCTTGCGGGGGTGCCTGTCCCTTCTGGGAGCTTCTGGGGTCGCGCAGAGAGCGTGGAGAGGAGGAGGAAGAGGAGGAGGAGGAGAAGAAGAAGGCAGGGAGGGAGGGAGGGAGGGAGGAAGGGCGAGAGGCAGGGGAGGAGGCAGCAACGCAGGGAGGAGGGGGAGGAGGGGGAGGAGGAGGATAAGGACGAGGAGGAGGGGGAGCAGGTGGAGAAAGAAAAGCAGGACGAAGTGGAGGTGGTGGAGGAGGCCCCAGGAGCCTTTGGGATCGCCTGCTCAGCCGCGGGGTACCCGAGGGACTCGCCAGCCGAGGCCAACAATCCGAGCAGCCTCTCCAGCTCCCGTGCGGAGACCTGGATGAGGAAGGGGGTGGGGAGGTCCGCCTCCCTCCTCCTCCCCTCCTCCTCCTCCACCTCCTCCTCCTCCTCGTGGCCCATCACCTTTCCTCCTTCCCTCTCCTCCCACCACTTCCTCCTACTTCTCTCCTCCTCATCCTCCTCCACCTCCTCCACCTCCTCCACCTCCTCACCTCCTCCTCCTCCTTCTCCTCGTCCCTCCCTTCCCTCCTCACCTCCCTCCCTCCCTCCCTCTCCTCCCCTCCTCCTCTTCCTCCTCTCCTCCTCCTCCTCCTCCACCTTCCCCTCCTCCTCCCCCTCCTCCTCTCCTCCTCCTCCACCTCCTCCCGTCCTCCCCCCTCCCTCCCTCCCTCCTCCCCGTCCTCCCTCCTCCCTTCCCTCCATCCCTCCCTCCCCCTCCCTCCCTCCCCCTCCCTCCCCCCCTCTCCTCCTCCTCCTCCTCCTCCTCTTCTTCTTCTTCTTTTCTTACTTCTTCTTCCTCTCCTCCTCCTTCTCCTCCTCCTCTCCTCATCCTCCTCCTCCTCCTCCTCCTCCTCCTCCCATCTCCTCCTCCTCTTCCTCCTCCACCTCCGCCTCCTCCTCCTCCTCCTCCTGAAAGCTGGACGGTGGTGGTATGGGAACCCGTCGACGGGCGCTGCCATCCCCCCCCAGCGTCCAGCTAAGTTTTGATATCGACCTTCGAAGAACGATGTTTCCGAACGTTGTTGATCAGCTTTACGCGTGTTGCCCCGGTTGGGGGCATCCAAAAGCATACAGGGAGCTCCGGGAGTCGCTGGGACTCCTGGGGACGTCAGGGGATCAGGAACTGGAGCGGCAATACGACGTACAAACACCACCTCCTTCTCCTCCTCCTTCCTCCTCCTCCTCCTCGATCTCCCTCCTCCCAACTCAACTCCTCTTCCTTGGAAACACATCCTCACTCTCACACCACGAGACGGGTCGTTGGAGCGTGCCGGTCGTTTCGCCTGAGACTTCCTCGCTGGTTACGATCGTGGTGCTTGCCCTTTCCAACAGATGCACGGATGGAGTCGGGTCGTTATGTAACATGGGGCTCTCGCCTTGGCGCCGTAAAAAACATCAACACGGAGGGAGGGCGGGGCCTTCTCAAAATGGTGCGGCTGGAGGGCGGAGCCAGTCGGAGCCTTCTCGAATGGAGCTCTCGCCTTGGCGCCGCGCACGCTCGCAGTCAACGCCACACAATTCTACGGATGGAGGCCAGGTCTTTCTCAAAGAAAAAACGGGGCTGCTGCTCGCGACCGTGTCTGGCTGCATGGCCAGGTGCTGAAGCGGGTAAAACAGCTAATTTCGCGGGTGGGAGGCCGTTCCTTTCTCAAGCGGGGCCGTCGCTGGGCATCTCGCTGGAGTCTACGACCCCACCCTGCCGCATTCCTAGCTGCTACGACCCCACCTTGCCGCACTCCTGCCGAGGAGGAGGAGGAGGAGGAGGAGGAGGAGGAGGAGGAGGAGGAGGAGGAGGAGGAGAACGAGGAGGAGGAGGAGGAGGAGGAGGAGGAGGGGGAGGAGGAGATGGGCGACATGTCCTCTTCGAACCTGAGCTCTCCCGCGTGAACTGCGGGCCCACATGGGGGTGCTCGTCGTTCAAGGAGGGCGCTTCGCGCGGCAGAGCATCTCATATCTGCACTGCGACGAGTGAGGAGGGGGACTCTTGGGACGGGAGGGCGCCGGGCGCACTGCAGCATTTGTGTTACATCTAGAATGTACTCTGGTCATCCTCCTTCGCCTGATCCTTCCCCATCTCACCATCCTCCTCGTCCTCGTCCTACGCTTCCCGTTTCCCACCCCCCTTTCACATCTTCCTTCGCATCCGCCTCCACCTCTTCATCCTCCCGCCTCTACCCCCTCCCCGTCTCTCATCCTCCTGCTCCCCCGGAGGTCTCCAGACGTCCTGGGGGACCCAGAAGCTCATGGAGGCCTCTGCAGGACCGGCCGATTCGGCCCAAAAGCGCAAACAAAAAGCCCCGATCCTCGATCCTCCTGCCCGGACGTCCGATACCTTGACTCTTTTGCATGGGTCCCCCAGAAGTTCCGGCCTCTTCCCCAGGGCCAGCTTCATCCCGAGCTGCTCGGTGGATGCCCCTGGAGCCTGGCCAGGGCCCCCAGCGACGCCGAGCGCGGCCAGAAGCCTGCCGCCGTGCCCCCGTCGCCACGACGCGTGGAGAGACATCGGCTCCCCTGGTCAGCGCATCCGCCCATCGGGCGCGCGCCAACGTGGACTACGGCTCCACGGATCGGGCCCGTGGGCGCCAGCTCCACGGGATCGGGAGGAGGAGGAGGAGGGGGAGGAGGAGGAGGAGGAGGAGGAGGAGGAGGAGGAGGAGGAGGAGGAGGAGGAGGAGGACGACGAGGAGGAGGACGACGAGGAGGAGGAGCCGGAGGAGGAGGAGGAGGAGGAGGGAATAGGTGCCCCCCCGCAGCAGGGCGCCAGCGCCGCCCCATCCGGCGACGGAGCGCGCCGTTTCTGCACGCATGCGGGGCGCACGCGCCCTGCTGCCAGGGACTTTTGCTCAGCGTGTCGCCGCGGCGGCCCTGGCGACACGCTGTGCCGTGCAGGCGGGCAGCGCGTGTCGCTCCGCTCCGCTCCGCGGGGCGGGATGCTGGGAAGAGCTCGAGACACTGACGCTTGGGAGGGGGGGGCGTGGGTAGCGCGTCGCGCCGAGGCGCGGTGGGCCAGCACTGGCGGAGCGACACGTTCAGCCAAAGCTCCTGGCCGTAATCCGTGTTTTCGTTGCAGAACACTGAGCGACGACATGAACATCGGATGTTGCCAGAATGAGGTCGGGCATTGCCAAAAACAGAAAAAAAAAAAAACACGCCATTCTTGGATATTCCTCCTGCAGAGGAACGTGCCCGACTTGATGCTAGAAGTGCCCTGTGCCCAAGGTGCCCCCAGGATTTTTCCAAGGAGGCCGGCCCCCCCGGCCGCCAGAGCACCCCGCACCTGGCCCAGAGGGCCCCAGGGGCTCCAAGATAGAGCGAAAGGCTGGGGGGCACCTTGGGCCAGGGTTAGGTTGCTCCCGACGTATTGAAGGACCAAACCCCCAGAAATGATTTCGAGCACCCAGAAAAGTGCCGAAACAGTACTGTCGAACGAATGTAGCCTCCCAGGGCCCGACACGTGAAAACCCTCACGTTTCGGTACTTTCCTGGTGCTCGAAATTATCTCTGGTGATCAAGGCTAAAGTAGGTTGGAACATCAGAAGGCCAAAGACACCTTCAGCAACCCCCGACCTTTACTCGACCAGTGAGCCCACGTGAGGCGTTCCAGAAAGGGCCTCGCCTTCGAGGATCGAAGGGGTTGCCACCTCGTCCTCGGGCGGCGGAAGCTGCGCGCAAATGTCTCAGATCGGGGCTGGACCCTCCTCCCTGGCGCGCCGGAAGCGCGCCAGGGGCGGCGCGCCGGAGGCGCCGCCAGGGGGGGTCCAGCGCCGATCCGAGAAATCCGCGCGGACCCTCGAAAGTTCGTTTTAATGACACAGTTTTGTTCGTCTTCGAGTCTTCGGGCGCGGCCTGACCGACCCCCAGCAAACCATCCCCTTCCGTGGCGTCATCCTTGCCTTTCGAGCTCCCCCCCCGGCCGCATACAAACGTGTTGGGGCGAGAAGAAGGAGACGTCACGGAAGGGTATGGTTTGCAAGGGGTCGGTTGGACCGCCCCTGAAGTCTTCTTTTCCTCGACACCCATACGCCCCTTCCCTCCTCCCCTCCTTCCCCCCCCTCAGGAAGCGGTCCCGCCCCAGCCCCGCCTGGCCGCGGCCTGTGGCGCCTTCGGCGCAGCACAGCCCGAACAGCCGGCCGATGGGGTCCGCCCTCGCAACATTCACAGGCGACCTCAGGGCAGCGGGCACGCCGGGGCGAGCCGTCCGGCGGGGGGGCGGGGCCTGCCCATCTAGTGCCATCCCGGATGAGGCGGACCCGTGTGCAGGCAGCACACACTCCATGATGGTGGAGCGGGATGTCGTTGAACTATCGGCTCACTCCGCCTCTCAATTTCCCCTGCCTGCCCTGGGACCTAGAAACAGCAATCTGCATGGAGGTTCGTTTACACCTTGGGCATATGAGGGTCTTCGTTGGCCAACACCCCAAAAGCCAATCGCAGGACCCCTCCGACTGGCATTCAATATCCTACCGCACCACGCTCTCAGATCGGCCGCCCTCCTTCTGACCGGCATTCTACACCCTACCGCACCTCGCTGCCATATATCGGCCGCCCCTTGGACACACACACACACACAATTATAACGGGCCGACCCGCGGGCGAGAAGACGCCGACACCGATGCTGACGCCGACGCCGATGCCGACGCCGACGCAGCGGCCGCCGCCGCCGCCGCCGATGACGATGACGACGACGACGACGACGACGACGACGACGACGACGACGACGACGACGACGACGACGGTGACGACGGTGACGACGGTGACGACGGTGACGCCGACGACGACGGTGACGACGGTGACGCCGACGCCGCCGCCGACGCCGCCGCCGACGCCGCCGCCGACGCCGCCGCCGCCGACGCCGCCGCCGGCGACGAAGACAACGACGACGCCGACAACGAAGACGCCGACGACGACGCCGACGGTCATCGAGACGGTCGCAGCGTGAGGCCGGGCATCTGCGCCAATGTAGGGCGGTGGGCACCGTGCGCCGGGAGCTGCAGTGCGAGGGCGCGCGGTCACTGCGCGAGGGCGTCCTGCCCGCGCCCCGGGTGTCCCACACCTCGCCCGCGTCGCGCTCCGAGGGCCCTGCGGCCGCGCTCGCGCAGCGCGCGGCCGGGGCCACTGCGGCCGACGCAGTCCTCGGGGAGGCGGGCATGCTCGCCCGCTGCGGAAGACGAGGAGGAGGAGGAGGAGGAGGAGGAGGAGGAGGAGGAGGAGAAGGAGCAGGACGGGGAACGAGGGAGGGAGGGAGGGAAGAGGGAGGTAAGGAGGGAAGAGGGAGGGAGGGAGAGGAGGAGGAGGAGGGGGAGGGGGGGGGGAGGAGGAGGAGGAGGAGGAGGAGGAGGAGGAGGAGGAGGAGGAGGAGGAGGAGGAGGAGGGGAGGAGGAGGAGGAGGAGAAGGAGGAGGAGGAGGAGGAGGGAGGAGGGAGGAGGAAGAGGGAGGGAGGGAGGAGGAGGAGGGAGGAGGAAGGAGGGGGATTGGCCCGCCCTCGTGGTGGCACGCTCGCGGCGCACTCCGCCCTCAACACGGCCCCGAGACGCGCCGCCGGTCGCGGGGCGAGGCCCCCGCCAGTGCGGACCGCCGCGCGACGCCGCGCGCTGCCTCGACCCCGATGTCCGAACGCCCTGGCGGTGCCCCGAGCCCAGAGTTCCAACGCGTTGAAAAAAAAGGGCGGAGGTGTTTCGCTGTTTCTGGCCTCTGGAGGCCCTCGCCGGGCCTCGGGACCGTCGAACAACAGCTCAGGATGAAGAACTCGCCCCCGGGAATAGGCCGAGACTTCCGGGGGACCGCGTCCAGAATGGATCAAGGCATCGCATCTCTGGGAGGCACCATCGCCGAGGATGCGGCGCACGACGCCTCCCCCCTCCCCCCCCCATCTTTCGAAGAGGGCCGCGCGGGAGGCCAGAAGCGGAGGAAGAGGCATCTCCCCGGGCGCAGGCGAGGCCGGCGCGGGAGGCAAGGGCCCGGGCGGCGCGAGCGCGCACGTGACACCCCCAGCCCCCCTGCAGTGAAGGGGGGCCCAGGGGCGCACGAATAAACAAACACGAGTCCCAGGATCCCCCCGGTTTTCCCATCTTTTCTGGGCTTCGTCTTCCCCTCCACTGTCCGCATGCTCCATAGGTCCCTGGGAATACGCGGTTACTTGTGTCTGTGTGTCGTCTCGCTCCTGAAGATGCATGCACGCGGTGTCAGGCAAACCCCCCAAACCCCTCCCCCACCAATGGCACTACCAGCGCGGAGCCTGAGAAGGAGCCCCTCGTGGCCGAGGGGGGGTCCCTGAGCTGCCTGGGAAGGAGCAGCTGCTGAGGAACCTTCCCTTTTGCCGCCCCTCGCGCGACGCTTCGGCCTCGCTGCGCTCGTCCCTGTATAGAAGCACAGCCTGCGGGCACCGCGCGAAGTCAGGCCTGCACCCACCGTGATGGCACGAGCCACGCATCTCAGGAGCAAAGGTCAGCACCTGAGTGAGCACCACGGCTGCGGCGCTGTCTGACAATGGTGGTCGCAGCTGCTCAAAACACTTTCAAGCGCCGGCCCCGGCCACAGGTGAGCCCCCGCGCTGCTGCGGCACGAGCCAGAGGTTGTGGGAGTCCTGATCCTTGGAGTTGCATATCGACATGGTGATGGCGGGGCTGTAGTGAATCTTCTCCTCCTCTCCCTGCAGGAGGGTGAAGCTGAACTCCTGCAGGAGCATGCAAGCCACCAGCTTCGCCTCGAAGATCGCCATGTCCATACCCAGGCAGATGCGCGGGCCTGCCTGGAAGACTGGGAACTCGTGAGGCTGCGGCTGCTTGAAGGGTATCCACCGCTCCAACCGCACCGTCTCTGGCTGCGGGTACAGCTCGGGGTCGCGGCCCATCGCCCAGGGCATGTACATGATCCTGCAGCCCTTTGGCAGCCGCGAGCCGTCTGGCAGGGTGAGGTCCTCGGACGCCTCCTTGATGTCGAGGGGCACCGGAGGGTACAGCCTGAGCGCCTCGTACAGCAGCGCGTGCAGCTGGGGCATGTTGGAGGCGTGCAGCTGCGAGAGCGTCGGCTCGGTGCCCAGGGGAGCGCAGCGGTCCACCTCCTCGAGGATGCGGCGCTGGATGTCTGGATGGGTGCTCAGGAGGTTCGGGTGCTGCCACGAGGTGGGCCTGGCCCAGGCCGCAGGGCAGCCCTCGCGAGACCCAGGCACAGATCCTCGACGCCATGACTGTTTCATGACGTCGACCCCCAGAGGTCTCGACCCGTTCCCCGGGGCCAGCGTCTCGCCCTGAGTCGTTGTTTGACGGTCCCGAGACCCGGCAAGGGCCACAAGAGGCCGACAATAGCGAAGCACCTTCCGTCGTGATTTTTTCATGACTCGAGGGGGTCTGGGCAGGGCCCTGGGGGGGTTCAGAACCGCGCGCAAGGCCGAGCGCACCTCGGGCCAACCCCACCTCTGGCAACCTCCGAGATGTAGAACATCCAGGACAGGGTGCAGGCTGTGGTGTCGCGCCCGGCGATGACGAAATTCAGCACGACGTCTCGCAGGTACTGTGTCGACTGGCAGACGGTCGAACCTTCGGTGGCCAATCATGGGAGCCTCTCATGCCATCTTGCTGGCTCTTGCGAACCGACGCTGATCGACGCCAATCGACGCTAATCGACGCCACATCGACGCTACACCGACGCTACTCGAAGCTATATCGGCGCTTTCTCGTCGACTACCAGACGCTAGCTCACGCGAATGCACTCTGAAGACGGACTTGCGAAGACAAACGAGGCTCCCACGATTCGCAGCCGACCGAACCTTCCCGCTTCGCGGCCTGCAGAAAAAGGGCAAGGAGGTCTTTGCGTGTTGAGAGTGCAGGGTCTGCCCGGCACTTCTCGATGATGCGCTCCGATTCCGTATCGAGATCTGACACGCTGGATACAAACTGCTGGTACACGCGACTGAGTCGACCGTGCCACCACATAAGGAGGCCATCCTTTCCTCCGAACGGCCAGGGGAAAAAATCTGAAAGCTGTAAGAACGGCAACGATGTGAGGAAGTACTGGAAAAAACTCCGGTGTGCATCGTCAAACGCTGCTCCAAACGCGTTCGGCTTGCCAGCGATTGTATCACCGTCTTCGCCGAAGAAGATCTTCATTATGCTGTCCATTGTGAAGTTGAAGAAGCAAAGCTGCATATCGACGACCTGTCCAGACTTTAGGCAGTTCCGCAGATTCTTTGCCTTGGCGATAAACACGTCCGCCATGTTCGAGTTGAAGTTGCCCCTGGTGAAGATCCGCCACAGCGCTTTGCAGCCATCATGCGACACGACAGGAGGGGGAGGGGGAGGGGGAGGGGGAGGGGGAGGAGGAGGAGGAGGAGGAGGAGGAGGAGGGGGAGGAGGAGGGGGAGGAGGAAGAGGAGGAGGAGAACGGGTCGCCCAAGCCCTTCGGAGAAACCCTCCAGTGGGTCGGGGCTTTGCCAGGTGCCCTCCCGTGGGCCCCTCACGGGCGCCCCCGTGCGCTGGCCGGGGGGGTCGGGGCTTCGCCGCGGGCCCGCCCGTGGGCGCCTCGGGGGCCTGCACAGCGCAGCCTGCAGCACGGAGGCTGCCATTGAAGCGCTGCACTGCGTGGCGTGCACCACACGGCTCGCACCACACATATCGCATCGGCTAGCTTCCACCACACAGCCTGCACCACACGGCCTCGCGCACGTAGCTTGCACCTCATCGACTTTACCGCACGGCTTGCACCACATAGCTTCCATCACATACGTAGCTTGCACCATGTGACGTGCACCACATAGCTCACACATCCAGAGTGCAAGAAAGCGCTGTTCGGGGGCCACGTTTGAGACCATGTTATTATGTGCTTGTGGTGCCCTGCCTACTCGACGCATGCAACCTTGGCAGCCTTGATGAAGAGCAGCCTCCGATACGGTATATCGTGTATATGCCGTCCCCTGCAAGGACCTTTCAGCGCTGGCTTGTCAAACGAACTGGAGCAGACGATAGCGAGCAGCCCGTGGCAATCGAGTCGAGCCTGCAAGGATGGCACCAACGAAAGACACCCTTAACAGTACAACAGACAGCGGGCCTCGCCAGAGGCCCTCCTGGCAGGGACCGGGCAGGGCTGCGCGTCTCCGGCCCTGGGTCACCCAGCTTCGCGCAGCGCGCCCCGCGATGCGCGGCGCGCGCCCGCTCTCCGACCCCCGCCGCGGGGAGCGCGATCGGCTTCGCTCCGCATGGGGGAGCCGGGTCCTGGGGGAAGCGGGTCCTGTGACGGGCCTGTTTTCCGCCACCGCCTCCGCCACCACAAGTTGGAGTGGGAGGGGGTCCTCCTCCTCCTCCTCCTCCTCCTCCTCCTCCTCCTCCTCCTCCTCCTCCTCCTCCTTCCCCGCTCCAACTTCTGCTGGTGGTGGTGGTGGTGGTGCAGAACAGGCCCCTCATCCTGGACCCTGGGGCCTCCCCCTGGACGAGCCGTTCTCCCCTGGCCCGTGGAGGGCCCCGATCGGCGGCGAGCCCGGGGGGGGGGGAGTGGGGAGGGGCGCGGGCCCTCTCACGAGGCTCGGAAGCACCCCCCCCCCCAGCCCTCTGAGAAGCTCCCTGCGCCGCCCCCCGACAAGCCACGGAGAACTTCTCGGAAGGCCGGAGGGAATCCGAGAAGCCCCGCCGCCCTCTGAGGAGGCCTTCTCCTTCTCGGTTCCCCCCCTCGCTCGCCGCCGACCCGAGGGGCCGACAATCATGAAACGCCTCGGGACCCGTGTCCCCCGGGGCCCGCTTCCCCCATAGCGGGCAGCGCGCCCCGCGATGCGCGGCACGCGCCCGCACTCTGGCCCCCGCCCCGCCGTGGGGAGCGCGATCGCCCTCGCGCCCCCCGCGGGCGCTCCAGTTGTTTGTGTGCGCCGAGGGGCGCGGCGGGCTCGGCCCCCGCTGCCCCGAGCTGCCCCCACGACGCCGTGCACAGCACGCCATGAACCAGGGCTCAACACGCGGTAGACCCTCGCTCAGAGTCAAGAAACTCTCACGCTGATAATGCGAACTTCACTCCAGGCGCTTTCTCGAGCAATAGCCCAGGCCCATATGCACGAAATAGCTACGAACAAAGCGAGACTCCAAGAAAACGGCCAAGACCCAGTCCAGGTTCATGATTTTCTGAAGCGAGATCTGGAGCCTATGAAAGTTGATGGTTTTCCTTAGTATGCCTGATGGGTGTGGGTCTGGCGCGAGATGATCGCCAAAACGTGGGCCGACACGCGCCTTGCCAACGCGCAGCGCGTCAACGCGGACGTCTTGAGCACGGCGAGTGCTGTCTTCTCAAAACGGGCGTCTCAGGGCAGCTGGGCTCCTGCCCCCGCAGTCCCAATGCCACGAGCCATTGAACCCTCCCTGGCTGGACCTCACGGGATGGGGCCGGGAGGCGCGTAGGACCATCATCACAGTCGACTGGTTTTGCTCAGCGTGTCGCAACGGCGGCCGTGGGAACACGCTGTGCACTGCGAGCGGATAGCGTGCCGCTCCGCTCCACGGGGCGGGGGGCACAGGAAGGCTCGGGACGTTGGCGCTAGGGGGCCCGGAAGTGAATAGCGCGTCGAACCGAAGAGGGGTGGGCCAGAGCGGGCTGAGCGACACGCGATACAAAAGTTCCCGAACGTAGCCCCAGAGCCACCAGCTTTTGACCCTCCCTGGTTGAACCTTGCCGGATGGGGCTGGACCTTCGAGACGCGTCTGACTATCATCATGACTGTCAGCCTTCTGCTGGGATAGGGGGCTGAACGGCCTTCGTCCGAAGGGGCGGTGCAAGCACCGTGAAGCTACCAGCAGGAGCAACGCTGAGTGAGGAACGACGCCCTTCTTCGGTCCACTAGGCGCCAGGGTGCACGAGGAGCGCTAGAGGAATCAGCAAGGAAAGGCCCGAGAAACAGCGAGCCCCTTCCGAACCGGGCCTGTGCCATGACGTCTTGGCTGACCTTGCGCAGGACGACCTAGTGGCCACATCCAACTTCGACTTGGCCGTCGGCTTCAAGGAAAAATGTGAAGAAATGAAAAGTGTGGCATGCTACGGATGACCCTGCACCTCTGGTGGAGCATCTTGGGGTGACATGCCGACCGACCGACGTGGAGTACCCTATTTCGCCACGCAATGGTTGGGACAAAGTTTTTGCAGCGATCAGTACAGTGGGATCGATTCCTGGATCCTCGCTTGCACGAGAGAGGCTGGTCTATCTCTCACATCAGGCCTCTCTGGCTGTGGGCTGCGCCGATTGCTGCCCCTGCACCGAGCACTGCCGCACGGCTCCTACACGAGGCGATCGTGCGGACAAAGACGAGGTTGTGGTGCCATGGCAGGTGGTGGTGTCAACGTGTTCAGCTGCACCCGATGCTGGGCGCGGCTTTCCGAGCCATCATCAGTATCACGGATCCATGACAAACGAAACAAGAACTGCATTTCGCGCGCCCCGGCCAGGCGAATACGCAAATTGGTTGGAATCAAAAAACTGTAATCCCATTTGCCTCGGTAGGAAAAAAACTGCTTAAAATCAAGTTGACGTGGAGTGAGTTCCTGGACTTCTCTCCTCAGAGACATGCTACGGTGCGGGGCGTCACGTTCACCCAGTACTGTGAGGGTCGAGGGCGTCGGTTGGAGGTCTCTGGCCACCGTGCACTTCGAGCTGTTCGGTCACTGTGCCCTGATGGGGGGTTCCGTGGTTGGACCCGTTCGGTGGAGGACGAGAGGCATGCCAAGAGAGTGGATCACGCTCGCAGACGTATTGCCCGCATACGTTGTCCCCAGGCAGTTACCCGTACCAGGCACGACTCCGAGTCTATTGAGGAAGTGGATGCGGAAGTTGTGTCGTGCAAGACTTTTTCCAAGTGGGGATTCTCCTTGTCCGAGGGCGACAGAGTGCGGCTTGGGATTTATCTCTCAGGAGCTGCGTCGTCAGAAACACGAAGACCGACGGGCCGTCCGTGTCCCCACTGTGGGCACCTCTGGTCCTCGTTCATGCACTTGTGGGCCGAGTGCCCTTTCTATGCAAGCGAGCGGCGTGCCATTACACATCAGTTCGCTCTCAACGATCTTTTCTGGACCAGTGTCCCCAAAGTCACGGCCAAGAGTGGATGAATTGTGCTCGCTCAGGCTCCAACCCATCAAGCACGTGCTACAATGATGAGGGCATCCTGCTAGATGGTCATGAAGATCATGCAGCTCAGTCCCCTCGAGCGCCTTCATCGTTTGGATTAGGGCTACCTTTGTGGGCCTGCATCGTAGTTCAATGTGGTTCATTCACCCTCTTCTTCTTCTTCTTCATACTAACAACGTCAACATCGTGACTGCAGCGAGGAGGTACCGCAATCTTGGCGTGTCCAAGAATTGCCTCATTGTCCCTCCGACGTCATACGCGTCCTCGCCAGCGGTCCACTCACTGTTGCTCCTTCATCGCCTGCCCCCCCCCTCCTCCCCCTCGTCCATCCCTGTTCCCACTGAAATTCCTCCTGACGCACCCCAGACGTGTCGGTAGGACGCGCCGAGCGTGTCACCCAATAGTTCCTCAGCATGTTCGGGCCTGAAGCTTATAAGGTGCAACAGCTTCAAGGATGGATGGCGGCTAGGTTTTCACAATGCTACTCTCGCCTTAGCGCCGCGCGCATCCGAAAAGTGCGCAACAGCTTCAAAGATGGAGGGCGGCTGGTTTTCAAAATGTTTCTCTCGCCTTAGCGCCGCGCGCACTCGCTTGTAAAATTGGCAGCAACTTCAGGGATGGAGGGCGCCTCATTTCAAGATATGGCTCTCGCCTGTGCCGCGTACATTCGTCTGAAACGTTCGCAACAGCTTCAAGGATTCGTATGGCTGAAACCCCAGGGATGGTCTTCTGGCACAATCAAGGATTATCGCGACGCAACAACCACACGAATTCGCATTGTTGAAATCCCTGGAATGGTGTTCTGGCACGATTTAGGACTGTCAGGACGCAAAAGTCAAGTTGACTTGCGGCGCGGAAGTCCCAGGAATTGTGGTTTGGCACGAACGAAGATTCTCAGACAGCTATCTTCCATTGGTGCACATCCCGCAATGAAAACAAGATCTTGGAGGGAGGATGGATTGCACCATCGATGGTGCGTTTTGGGCTTATACTGGACGTCCTCCTCCTTCTCTTCCTCTTCCTCCTCCCATTCCTCTTCCTCCTCCTCCCCCTCCCCCTCCTCCTCGTCCTCCTCCTCCTCCTCCTCTTCCGCCTCCCCTCCTCCTCCTCCTCCTCCTCCTCCTCCTCCTCCTCCTCCTCCTCCTCCTCCTCCTCCTCCTCTTCCGCCTTCCCTCATCATGTCCTCTAGCGCTCCCGCGCAGGAGGGCCCAAGATGGGCCTGCAGAAACCCTTCGGACAACCTCCTGGCTGCCCAGAGCAGATCCCCAGCGGCCGAAGAACCGTCCCGACGGACTCGCGACGGCCACAGTACGGCACACGACGGCCGCAGAACGGCCTCGAAACAGGCTGCGTAAGCCATGCCAAGATGAGCGCACATCCGCGACTGTGCACAGAACAGCAGACACTCTGGTCATGCAGTGGCGCAGCGCCATTGCCGCACAGCGCCACGGGGCGATCGCTCATTGGGAGGCGACTGCTGGGATGGCTTAGCAAGAACGATGTCTGGGCGATTTAGCCTGAGCAAGGGGCCATGAAGCCGGATGCACCCGGATTAAGCCCAAGCTGAAGCCGAACTAGCCGAGATTACGCAAGCGGGATTCAACGGAAGTTAACCGGATTACGCCACATTTGGCCGATTTCGACCACGAATATGCCAGCGCCCATAACATGGATACACCAACTTCCCGGGGTTTGCATCCGATTCGACGTAACAGCACTGGCAGACTTCGTCCCCCCGGCGCAGCGGTCGATACGCGCGGCAGCGCAGCCAGATGTTAGCCGCGATCTTGCGCTGCTCCTTCCAGGCTGCCCCTCCGTCGCTTGCCCCGCTGCCGTGCCTCAGCGTGAATATACCAGACCCGAGGAACTGCGTGAAGAGGTGCATCAGCCAGTCGTCCCGAGGGCTGGACTTGGTGATCTGGTCGAAGCCGTCCTTCAGCACGTGGCGCACGACCTCGGGGCTGCGCACGACCACCCACAAACCCTGGGGCTCCCACACCGGCCCCGTCCACTGGGCCACCGCCATTCCGCACGAGTTCTCCTCGAAATAGTCGTTGAGTCGCTTGAGATTCCTGAGGAGCACTGGCAGAATCCCCAGGATTGGGTGCGCCCCACCCCGCAGGCGAGGCACATTACGCATCACCCAAGCTCTGCGCCGATGGAGCAGAATGCGCCAGATAATCTTTATGAATACCTGGCATCCTGCAAACTGCAGATATCATCCAGCCCCCGGGGGGCACAAGGTTGTGAAGGGCAAGGGTGTCACTTGCCTGCCGGACTGCTGTTTTGCTGGTGTCTCTTGTCCTATCTCTGGTCCTGTCTCTCGTTCCGTGTCCCCTGTCTCTTCACTCCTGTCTCCTGTCTGTTGTCAAATAGGGGAGGGGGGGGCGAGGCGTCACTGAAGACGCCCAAAGGGTGTGTCCCTCAGCCCCCTGGACGCTCTGGGTTGCCCTAGGATTCCCAGAGGGACGCCACCAGAAGGGCTGGAGAGGCCTCCAGAGCGGGCCGAAATTGCCCCACAAAGGGTAATCAAGAGCCCACGGCGATTGTCTGTGGCTTTTCCGCCTGTCCCGTGCTTTGCCCCCAAGACGTCCGAAGACCGTTTCAAGACAGCCCCAGAGCGCCTAAGATTTCTCAAGACGGCTCCAAGGTGGTTCCAGCATGCCCGAATGAGCCACCAACATCACCCAGGATGGCCCCAGCGAGGCTCGAAGACGGCCCCAGGAGACCCCACGAGATGCCCCCTAGGTGGGCATCAGAGGCCCCAAGATCACTTCAAGACTGCCCGCCGGCGGCCACAGGCGCAACCCTTCCGATGATCTCAGGATCTGCTTCGCAAGCTCGGGCCAGCTGCGCCTGGCGAGAGGGCCTGGCCCCATGCTTGCGCGATGCCAGGCGGTAAGGCAGCACCCCGCGTTCACGCCGTGCCGGCAGCGCCCCAGCTGGAGCCGACATGGCGACGGAGGAAAGAGGAAGGAGCAGGAAGGAGGGGAAGAAAGGTGGAACATGTGGAGGAGGAGGAGGGGGGAGGATGAGAAGGGGGAGGGCGAGGAGAAGGGCGATGGGTGAGAGGGCAAGAAAGAAGTAGGGAAAGGCCCCTCCTCGAAGTCGCTCTCTTGGCCATCTCTGCAAAGCGTCTCCCCCCCTCCCCGCGACCCCTCCTGTCCGTGTTGCCGTGCTCCGCATCTGTCGCAGCAGTGGCTGGGGCACTCACATGTAGGGCTCGGTGTGCGTGGCGGAACGGCAAGCAAGGCCAGAGCACCCGAGGGGCTCAGGTGGGCGCTTGCCCGCCCCTGCAACAACTGCCTCCTGCCAGGTCGGATGGCCAAAGGAGCGGTCGTGGTCCCGGCAGCGGCCCGCCGGAATTTCTAAACTTTCTCATAATCTGATACAACAAGAAATTCCAGAAATGCCAGACGTTCCCCAGAAGTCAAAAAGATCCCAGAAATTCCAGAAATTCCTGAGGATAGCGGCGCCGGCCCCGGCCTGCAGTGTGTCGTGCGCGGAACGAGAGGTTAATGCCCCACCCCCCGTGACCGCCCGTCATCGCTCAGGAAGCAGGCGACAGAAGAGGTGCTCCAAGCGTGGCCTGGCCAGGGGTGCTGAGCGCGGCCTGGCTGGGACGGTAAGCGCGGCCTGGCCAGCGCGGGGCCAGGGGTGTTGGGAGGGGCGCCCCGCGCCAACCCCAGAGATGCTCAAGGAGCTCCAACAGTTTGCGCGTTGCACGTGTTCTGTCCTCAGTGTGCGGGGCCGAGGCGGCCAAGGAAGGCCTCACGCGCGGTGATTCGACAAGCAAGTCATTGCCAGCGTGGGCCCCAGACAGTAGTCTCTCGCACTCGCAATTCGCAAGTTGTCCAGCAACCAGAAGTCGCGACCATGTGGGCATGAGAAGGCGCCCGCTATGTGGCAGCACCCATACAGCACCAGGGCGGCAACCAGGAATCGCAGCAATCAGTTCCAGGAGCCCAGCGTGACCCCAGTTCTGGTCAAGTGAAGGCTTTCTAAGTGTGTAAGCAAACAAGGCGTTGCACGGAGCACGCCAGGGGCGGTGCCGGAGGTGCCGCCAAGGGGGGCCCATAGCCGATCCGAGGAAACTGCGCGGACCTCCGAATTTGCATCTTTATGTCATCGCTTGTCCCTCAGAATAAGGCATGGAGCAGGCGCACGGACAAGAAGCTCGGCGCTCGGGGCAGGATTCTTACCCATGCCCCCGCTCTAGCCCCATGGTGCGGTTGGGGCGTGAGCAGGGGCATGGACAGAACGTCGATCGCCGAAGCAAGATTCACGTAGCGTTAGGTCGAGCGTGTCCCCCTACAGCCGGGTTGTGGACGAAATATGAAAAATAAGCAAAAGCACGCAACAATAGTCAAACATAATCGAAAAACGTCCCCATACGGTTTTTTTAATACTATTTTTGAATCTCTCCTGTAGAGGGACAGGCCCGACTCAAACGCAGCGCCAGCGCTCGGCCGAAGCGACGCCGGGCCGCGGTCCCAGGCGTGGACAAAACGTCGATCGCCGCAGGAAGATCCACGCCGCGCCAGCCATCGGCGAGGGCGTCTGTGAAGAGGGGGGGAGCACCAAGCGCGGCGGGGGAGCGCAGGTCGTGGCCCGAGGCACGTGCGCGGCCAAGGCAGGGGCCAGGGGACGTCCTGCCGTGAGGAGGAGGGGCCACGACGGAGTCTGGGGAGATCTCATGGCCACGACCAGCCCCGAGGATCGGCAGTCTCTGGCGCCGGAGGAGGAGGAGGTGGAGGAGGAGGAGGAGGAGGAGGAGGAGGACCAGGCGGAGGAGGAGGGGGAGGAGGCGGAGGAGACGGAGGGGGAGGAGGAGGAGGAGGAGGAGGAGGAGGAGGAGGAGGAGGAGGAGGAGGAGGCGGGCGACGCTGGGCCGCGGGCCCAGCCGGGAATCCTCCGCCGGCAGTCTCTGGCGGGCCTCCAGCTGGGCCGCACGGCAGGGCTGCGCCCTCTCGGTTCTTCGTCGCGGGCAGGGGCCCTTCGGCCTCCGGCCCTGGGGCTCTGGCCTCCTCGGGCTCTGCTCAATAGGGGGGGGCGGCCAAAGGGGGGGAAGGAGGAGGAACAAATAGGGCACACATAAACTTTGGGGGATCTGCGATGACCCCCCGCCACGGGCGGCGCGGAGCGCGCCAGGAGCGGCGCCGGAGGCGCCGCCATCGGGGCCCAGCGCCGATGCAAGAAATCCGCGCGGAGAGCCGTAAACTAATGTTTACGCGACGTCATATCGTAAGGAGAAACGAGCACCTGTCGTGCCCATGTTGGGCCCCCGTTGACCCCTGAGCACAAAAGGTGTACCTCTCTTCACCCCACCGTTTATCGCCACCTTCGGTGGCAACTCATGGGAGCCTCCCATACCATCTTGTCGGCCCCTGCGAATCGAGGCTGATCGACGCTAACTCGAAGCTAACTCGACGCTAAATCGACGCTAGATCGGCGCCATCTCGTCGACTCCAGACGTCAATCGACGCTCAAGACGGAATTAAGAAGGTACACCAAGCTCCCATTATTGGGGAGACCAAAATGTACCGATACCGCTACTCCCCAGACCTCTCCCAGGGTGCGTTCTGACAAGGATTTCGAGGCGAACCCAGCGGTGGCGACGAGGACCGCACAAGAGGCCCACAAAGGGGAAAACGGGGGCAGGGTAGGGGTACATGGTACATGGGTACCTTCTCCTCCTCTGCATGATTTGCCACCGAAGCCACCCCACTGCGCAAGGCCCGAGCCTCTGAGTTCTCGCCCTCGGCCGCGAAGGGCCCTCCGCCGGCAGCCTCCGGCGGGCCTCCGGCCGGGCTCTGCGGCGAGGCTGCGCCCGCCGGGCCCGCCGCGGGCCCGGCCGCGAGCTCTCCGCCGGCCGTCTCTGGCGGGCCTCCAGCGGAGCTCTGGGTGGCTGCGCCAGCCGGGCTCGGTGGATCCGATGGCCGGAGGGTTCCAGAAAGGGGCTGCGGCAGCACGCGCGGCGAACATATGACCATCCGCACCCATGCCCGCACGGTCTGGACGCCGCGGCGCGGCCCCCTGGATGCGCGAGCCCATGGGGTGCGCTCCGCGCGGGGCAGCTGCGCAAGGCCGCCCTGCATCCGTGGGGCCGCGGCCGAAAGGTCTGGACTGCCAGACTGTGGATGTGGAGTATGGCTCTGGAGAGGCCAAGCCCAGACGGAGCGAGCCCAGACGGAGGCCGAGCACTCCGTGCGGACTTCCTCCGCGCGGACGTCGCATCCTATCGGGAAAGGTTGCGTCTCCAGACAGGGTAAGCCCAGACGGAGACCGAGCACTCCGCAAGGGCTTCCTCCGCACGAGCGCAGCCTCCTCTGAATGTATCCCGCTCGCGAGTCATGTCAGGTGGGGCCCTCAGCTGAACCACTTCCCGAGGGGCTGAGACGGGGAGCTCAACGGCGGGCTGTCAACGGAGCGCTCGTCTAACCAGCGCGACATGGCGAACAAAAACACGACTGGAGCTCTGGACCATCTGCTTCTGCGGCATTCTTCATGTCAAATCGATCCTCGGGGGCCCGCATGGGCCCGAGAGGGTGAAAATGCTGGGCGTGATTATTTCACGCCTTAACCTGAAGTGAGGAACAAGACGTTTCACCTCCAGACCAGCTCGTAGACCTCTACTGGAAGACATCCTGACTCTAGCTTCGGGGCGAATCCAGCCGTGGCGATGATGCCCACCTCGGGGGCCCAAAGAGGCATGAACCCGTGCAAAAAGCCAACAGAAAGAAAGCGCTCTGCCTTGACCCTGGAAGTCCCTGCCGTCTTCGGAGGTCCACGGAAGCCTCCAGAGGTCTCCAGGAGCCTCTGGAAATGGCCGAATCACCCAAAACCCCCAGAACCCCTGAGATCCAACGTTGACGAAAAAATGCAACATCGCGAAAATCACGACCGGAGCCCTGGACCCCATCTGTCTGCGTCACTGCTCGAGCCGGATCGATCTGCGAGAGTCCCGGGGCCCGAAATCGGGCGAAAACGCCTGGTGCGACAAACATGCAACGCCCAGATCTAAAGGAACCCTCTGGGATGATGCGCTGGACGGCTGCCCCAGCAGCAGCACGCGCCGCGACGAGGCCAGGCCCGTCGCCGGCGTCACCGCTGGCGTCACCGGCGTCGCCGGCGTCGTGGCACCGACCCGCGCCGTCGACGGCGAGGAGCCCAGGCGGTTGAGGCGCGTCGCGGGCGTCGTAGGCGTCCTGGCGGCGACGACGATGACGACGACAGCGCCACCGCCGACGACGACGACGACGGCGACGACGGACGACGACGGACGACGGACGACGACGCCAGACGACGGACGACGGACGATGGACGACGGGAGACGGACGACGACGACGCCGACGGCGACGACGACGGCAACGACGACGACGACGACGACCGACGACGACAAACGACGGACGACAGACCACGGACGACGAGCGACGGACGACGGAAGACAGACGCCGGACGACGGACGCCGACGACGACGATGGCAACGACGACGACGACGACGACAAGGACGACGACGACGACGACGATGACGAAGACGACGACGACGACGACGACGACGACGACGACGACAAGGGCCACGGCGACGACGGACGACGACGGACGACGGATGACGGACGACGACGCCAGACGACGGACGACGACGACGGGAGACGGAGGACGACAACGACGACGACGACGACGATGACGACCGACGACGACCGACGACGACCGAAGACGACGGACGACGGACGACGGACGCCAGACGATGAATGCTGGACGATGAAAGCCGACGGACGACGACGGACAACGGACGACGACGACGACGACGACGACGGCGACGACGTCGACGACGACGACGAACAACGACGGACGACGGGAGACGGACGACGGACGACGGACGACGGACGACGACGCCAAACGACTGACGACGGACGACGGGAGACGGACGACGACGACGACGACAACGACAACGCTGACGACAACGACGACGACGACGACAACCGACGACGACCGACGACGACGACGACGACGGATGACGGACGACCGACGACGACGACGGACGACGGACGACAGACGCCGGACGACGGACGCCGACGACGACGACGACGACGGCAACGACGACGACGACGAGGACGACGACGACGAGGAGGACGAGGACGAGGACGAC